ATGCCTCCATTCTTCTGGGTACACAAACTGTGCATTCTATATTTCTGTACAATTTCCAGAAGTTGAGTGGGCCCCTCACCTCACATTTTTCATCTGTGTATCATTTACCTCTCCACCAACCCCACTCCAACACCAAACACAAAGAATGAGGAAGGAGGGACTTCCCTGGTGGTCCAGAGGTTGAGACTCTGCATTGCCAATGCAGGGGGCGCGGGTTCAACCCCTGGTCGGGGAACTAAGATCCCCCATGCCGCGTGGCCAAAAGATAAAAATAATAATAATAATAGGGGAAATAATAGGTGTGGCGTATATGGAAACTCTGTAGTATTTTCACAACATTTCTGTAAATCTAAATCTATTCTGAAATTTAAATCTTCTTTAAAAAAAACAAAAATGAGGCAGCGGCTGGTGGTCAAGCTTCTCTCCTCTCACTCATGTCAAACTCTTGAACACAATAATCCCTCCTCAAACCTACCCTCAGACATCCCATGCCTCACCATTAAATAGGTTTAGGTAAAGGAGATGTGCTACAGATGTGATTTAAGTTAAAATAAAAACAACACTGGTAGTAATAGATGGAAATTTTCATTTTTATTGATAAACCATGATTTCCTATTGAATAGATCATCAAGTACAATTAACAACAACACTCTAACATTTAAAATTTAAACATTCAGAATCACCCTGGTTCAATATACAAAGCTTTAGTTTCTTGGAAAATGATGTTTTATTTCAACAGTGTCCTTCTTATATGCAAAACAGCTTCTCAAAATAGAAGATTTGTGAATAAAATCTTATAAAGCTTCCTGTGTACAAAAGAAATCAACTCTACTGTATCAACTGCACCTTAGTAAAAGTCCAAAACAGAAAGGCTTGAAGGACCAGAATAGAGCCACATTCTATTAAATCTATCAAAGACAAATCTTAATGATCTATAAATGGAACATGGAACTATCCTATACCACTGATTCAATACGCTGGCAGAAGAGTGGTAAACCGTGGCCTCGTGACAACATGGACAGAATTATTCTTAAATATGTAGTAACATATATATCAATATCATCCCTATTACAAAGACACACACATACCAACGTGTAAGTGTCCTGTGAAGTGCGAAACTCGGAAATCATCTAGGAAATATCTGTTTTCCTGTATTACAACCACTGAAATGAAATGGCAACATTTTAGTGAATGATGCAATGTGGCACTGTCTTTTGATGAGGCACGTGAAAACACAACTCAATGGCTAGAAATAGTCTTGAAACAAGCCTACTCGCAACCGATATATACTTAATTAAAAATGTATATTTACTGTTTAGTTTCCTAAAGAAAGTAGTATAACAGTTCTTTATTCAAAGTAGTGATAAAAAAAAAATTGCACCTCAAATTACTCCCAATGCAACTTAGGATATTTAACATTAACACGAATATCATTTGAATAGATGATAGGAAATTTTTAAGTTCTTAAAGGTGCTATGCTTTACTGGAACTTGAAAAAAAAAATCAGAATATTCTTCTGTCTAACAGAAGCCTCTACTGAGAGTGCATAAAGTTCTGAATCTTATCCAAGAGTGAGTCCACTTACTGTGTCTCAAATTTTAAAAGTGCAAGTAAATGATGCAGCCAAGAAGATGTAATGGCACCTGGACCCATGGGAGCCACTTGATGAACACCAAATTAAGTACTGTCCTTATGTTAAGGAACCTTGTCAAGGAGGTATTTACAACATATTTTTATAGAAAACAGTATTAAACTTCAATCAAGCAAATTAGAAAAAATGAGGCTGTTAAAAAGAACTCCAGATTACATGCTGGAAGGCTAATAAAATGGCTCCTTTAAAGAATGACAAAGAAACATCATAGCTCCAATTGTCATAGGGCAGCCAGAAATGTTGAATGATATCAAATTGAATTATATCAAAATAATTGAATTGTATCAAAATAAACATAACTAGCATTATATTGCCAGAATATTTATAACTAAATTTAACATAAAAAGAAATTACAGGTAAATACAACTTTTTAAAAAAATAATTACACCCAGACTCAAAAAAAATGGGAGCAGGGAGAATTACGTCATGTACAATTCTGAAAATTCCCACGTGTGGAATACAGCATTGCATATATAAGTAACAAACTGTTAGGCAATAAACGTATATCTGGATTTTATATTAACACTATGCTTCACAGATTATAATATAACCAAAATACTAAACCAAAGATGTTATTGTTAGAATATTTTAAAAAACATAAAGTATAATAGGACCACACAATAAAAGGAAGCATTTCATTGACCTAGCGTATTTTAATGGGCTTTAACTTCTTTATTAGAGTTATAACTGAAGGCAATAAGATGGTGAAACCAAATATAATAGCGTTGCTCTGTCCTTGAATTACGTGGCTACTAGTTATTCCTAAAGTTCCGCGTCTGGAATCACTGGCCAGTCAAAACTGGAAGTCACACACGCTGGTGTCTTAATGAGGTTCCCACTCAGTGGAAAAGAAGTGGGGACTTTAAATTAGTTCATATCAGAAAATGAAATTGATGGCACTCTAAGGGGAAAGTTTCAACATCAGCAAACTTAAAGGTAAGAAGAGATTTTTAGTATTATTACTCGTAGCATGTGAAGAAAAGAAGAGTCGATACTGTCAATTATGACTACTATGTGTCCTCCTTTCCCCCTAATGCCTGTGGCTTTTTGGTCCCTTTTAATCCAAGCGCACTGCTGCAGCAGAGCCAGCGCTCTGAGAGGCGTGACAGAGGAAGACGCCCGCGTCCGCAATGCCCCATATGCACCTCCAGCTGCGCTGACCCTCTCCCCCTTCCTTCTTCTCTTCTTCCTCAATCCCTTCCTTCTCCTCTCTTTTAATACATTTATAATAAAAAGAGATGCGTTACAATATGAGTTACAAGGTGAATTTTTAATCTGAAATAATTCACAAAAACTATTAGAGTTCTAGTTTTTAAATGAGGAAATATGGTTTTAAAAAGCTACAAACATGGTTTAAAAAACCTACAAACTGTCTTCCAATGGCTTTCCATTCTGGTGTTTCCTAAAATACTACACTAGAAGTCCAGTATGAACAGAATATAAGCTACAGAATATAAACTATTTACGGTTAGTCTGAGGCTCTCTGGGCAGCGAGGGGGTATCCTTTGCCAACACACTCCTCCAACTTCGTCCTAAGATACTTTCATCTCCAAACAAGTCCTAAGCGTATAAAAGCCGAAACCCCGCACAGGAAGGCCCAAACCCATGTGCCTTTTTCAGATCAGATTGTTTCAAAGGTGTAACACAACGAAAAACTTTTCCCCACTTGAAAATAAATACAAGAAAATTATGTGTTTGATATTTAACTGCTCTCTCTCCATAGACCACCCTCTGAGGATCTATTTTCTACATTTAGGTTTCAAGCTTTAAAAACCTGAATGTTAGTCATTCCTACCTTTGTGTCCAAAATACCCATAAGCATTCCATGAACATCCACTCCACTGTCATTTAAGTTTACTAAAATAAAAACATTCTTTTTAAAATTTACTTTAAACTATATTATTTGCATATTTTATTTTTGGATTTATTTTTAAACAGTTGAAAATACTGCAATGCAGCTTCTTTGGAGCCCGTGACGATTACGTTTCTACATCCCCTTGAGAGAAATGCCGAGTTCAGGAGTGAAATTAAACCAATTTTTAGATTTAGTAAAAGTTCTTTAAATTTTTTGTATATATCTAAAATATTTCAATGTATTTCAAATGAAAAGAAGAAAAAAAGAAGGGAAGGAAAGGCAGGATGAAACAAAGGTGAGAAAAGAGGAAAAAGAGGGAAGGGGGAAGAAAGGAATCTTTCCTTAAAATTTCACCCAGATAAATGAATATTATCGTTCCGAATACAGGGTAACCCGTGACACAGGGGCTCAACATTCAAGAATCTTCTATAAGATTCAGAGCAAGCGTTAGATGTCACTGGACAGCTGGTGGTCTGACACTCAGACACCTGAATCTAGAAGGTTCCACAGGACCCTGGCCAACACCGTACAGTACTCCACATCTCTGATCCCCGTCAAACCCCAGCTTCTTTCCCAGACCATGGGGAGGTCCAGTCTGCTACATCTCATATAGGATTTTGTTGTGCCCCTGGCTTAGCACCCCCCATGACTCACATGTGCCTCCTGGTCTAGGATCTTCTGGTCCAAGTCACGTAAGGCACGTGTTGCAATGCCCTCTGACCCCCAGCCTGAACAGAGCCCACATGCGGGGCTGAGGACGCAGAGGAGGGCACCCGGGGCCCCTCTGGGCACTTCCCAGCAACCTCAACCTCTGGGCCGCCGGCAGCACAGCAAAGCCGGTCTCTCTCTGCTTCTCTCCAGAGGGAAAACAGAGGAAGAGTAAGGGCTGGGGTGTGTGACTACATCTGGACTGAAACAACACCATTTCCCTTTAAAAGAAAAAAAATCACCACCTCCATCCTAAAGAAAGAAGTTATATCTGATTAAGAAGGATGTACTGAGACCACTGGGATGGGTGGTGTAGGCGGAGGGTTAGGGTGGATACAGAAGGGACAGAACAAGCTCCTCCCACGGGTTTGTTTCCTCCCAGTTCCCAGGAAATCCATCGTTAATACTAATGTATAACTAATGACACTGATGTATAGCAGTGCTTAAGAACCCAGGCTCATTTCCTCTAGAAAATGGAAAGAATCGTCTGAAATAACACATTTATTCTGGAGAAAATAACACCTCCTAAAGAATCCTAAAAGATTTTAAGAGGGGGAAATAAAAGAATACAGCTGCAATAATTCTGATTTTTTGTTGCACACGGAAGTCAGGGGAAGAACTCTATGCAGCTACACATACAAGGACCGGTTGTACACCCCCATCCCATCCCATAAAAAGAAAAACATTGATTTTCAAAACAGAGGTGATATCTGCTTATGAAAACAAGACAATCACATGTGACTTCTAGAAATGAAAGTGTTACGCGGAGTCTTTAAAAAAAATAAATCATAGCCAACACTGCAAAGAGAACAGAAGCGTGAAGCAGACAAGGAGGCAGGCGTTAGGGTGAGAAAGGGAGGCTGAGGCCGCGCTGTCACAGGGGCCGCAGGCGTGTGCGTCCCCACAGAGGTCACAGGAGGACAGCTGTGCTCTGGAGTTGTAGCTTCTCACCGCTTGCCGCCCTGTTCAAAGAAGCAGATGTTGGTTTACATGCCTCCTTTGTTTAGAAACATTTACTTTGCCAAAACTTAAGAGCATTTTGATACACTTTTCTGAGTTTTCCGTTCTTCACATAATTTTATTTTTCTTTACAAGAAACAACTGAAATACTCAAGAGGGACCCAAACTACCAAGTCCAAGAGAGAAACAATGCTTTGAGTCCAGTTTCTGTACCTCCAGCAGCTGGCCAGCATTAAAAGAGAGAAAATAGACCACAGCTGCTTGCCGCAGTTCAACCGCAACCTGAAACTCTTCCTGGAACAGGAAAGACTGTAAATTGAGGATGTTTTAACCTCCTTGAGAGCTTATTTTAGGGTGACATTTTCTATGCATTCAAGTAAGGTTCTACTCATTGGAACTACTGAAGAGAAATATTTACCATGGACTTCATTTAAAAATGCAAAAGTATGAAGAGAACTCTACCTGTGTGATGTCTTGTTTCAGTGTTTTAAAACGTTAAGCACATAGTCTCTAAAACTATTCAACTTGGATAAATTTTATAGTACAAGCTAATATTTTTTAAAAACTATATAAAGCACCAATAGCACTACAGTAACCTTACTATAAAGCATAAATGATTTTTATTTTTACAATTTTTAAACATTGTAAAAAATTTGTAAAAAATACAATTGTATTTTTTTACAAAACATTGTAAAAAATACAATTTCTATTTTCAAATTTCTTCACAATTTTTCATTGACTTTTTTAACATTTTAAGTAGGTTTTCTAACTCTAGGGTTCTTCAAAATGGGTTGGTTGGTTTATTCTGACCTTTCCCATGTTTTCATTTTAAATGCACCCCCTCATACATAAGTTGTTTTCCACAAAAAAAATCTCAGAGACTGAATCTTTTTTGCTTTTCAAATGTTTAAAATGTTCTCCATACACCTAACAAACATCAATTGGAGAATGTTTCAACAATCATGTAACGAAGTTGGATAACTAGGTACTGTCACTGAGTCTCCACAGTGGATCTTATCCTTCCACCAGAAAAAAAGTGCTGCATCAGTGTGTCCCCAAAATATCCCACAAGAACTGGGGGTGAACTCCAACAGGAGGCAAAAGATGAGAGGAACTGGCTTGTTGACTTAGAAGGAGAGAGAGCTGGTGCTACCGTCGTCTTCCATGAATACTGCACCAAACACTCCCAACCACGAGGACAGGTTCCGCGTACTTTAAAGCGTAATTATCTACAACGACCTATGACATGAAAATGTTCATGATTCTCATGTGTTCTAATGATTCTGAGCCCCAGGAGTGCTTATTCAGGATGAATGTGATGACAAGTAGAAACATTAGCCTGAAAATCACACACCGACAAAAAGTCACTCTGTGATTGAACAGAGATTCGTCCTGATCAACTTAGATGATCTCCAGACTAGATCTCTACTTTCACATCCTAAATTTCTAACATTTTATAAAGTAAAAAATTACCAGTAAAGTCAAAAGAAGCTCAAGTTATTTTCCAAACAGACTACAGTTTTCTTGAAATGATAAAAAAATCTGTTACAATAAATAAATTTTAGCAAAACAAGACTCCCTCGGTGAAGAAACAGCTAAACCCAACTGAGGCTCGTCCGCTGCGGACGCTGTTCATGTTCTCTCCTGAAGAAGCCCTGTTTTAAAACCAGAACCCGATAGAGTGGGTGCTTGGAATAGGAGCAGAACCTTGGAAATTGAACATAAGTGGACTCTCTGTGTCACTTTTTCTTTGTAAAGTTTGTAGCTGGGAGTTAAAAACCTAAAACATTATGAGCAAAAACATCACTTTTTAATATATGCTAAATGCTATCATGTGATTACTTTTTTGTAAATTATCAATTGTCTTCATTTAAACGTAAAGCTCACCTTCTCCTCCGCCACCTCTTTCACTACCCCAAACAACACCCGCACCCCACAAAGCCAATCCAGCAGACGACCACTCTGAATGAAGGAATGAATGAATGAGTGAAGGAATGAATGAATGCCTGGCATAACTCCCAAAGTATCACGAACCCCAGGACACACTTACTTGGTTCATAGTAATCCATTATGGACACTGAAGCATCTTGTGTATTTGACACTCTAAAGTTTCTCACAGAAGGAATATCAACACAGAACTGGGTTTCATTTACCTTGAAAAATACACAAGGCTTTTAAAGGTGTGGCAAATTATGTGTTCAAGAGAAAGTAAAAGACATTTCTATCTCTTATCCTTTTATCAAACAGCTATAGAAATGAACACTTAGGGAGCATTTCTGCACACCCGGTACTGGGGTAAGCACTTTATAGAAATTACATCATTTATCTTGTAAAACAGTCCTTGCATGATCAGTATTGTTCTTACTTCCATTTTACTGAAATGGATACTGAGAATTAGAGTGGTTAAGTAAGCAGGAGCCCAGAAGTGCATGTCCCCAGCCCTGGTGCTTCACCGAAATCCCCTGTCTCAGCTTTGCACCCCATCCTGGTTGCTGCTACTGACTGACACCAGCCCCCTTCTCTGGAGAATCACCCTCAGCTCACGGGAGTCACCTCATCCAGTAAGTGAAGTAACCTCAGAGCGGGAGGTGTGGCCCACAACCAATAACTGACTGATATGGGCACAAAAGGCCAGCCTCCTTGCCTCCAGGAAGGACACTTATTGCCAATTTAGCAAATCATACTGGTTAAGGAATCTGAAATTGATAAATTCCTTTAAACATTCCATTACATACCAATTAGCAGTAAGTGAAAAGACAAATTAGTCAGTCAAAATGTAATGGACACTCCAAAGCTAATTACATTATTTTAAAAAACCTTAAATGTATTTTTCAAACCCCAAATTAGGCCCATGGCTATCAAGCAGTATTTAATAGATGAAAATCACTGAACAGCAAAAGAATCTAGAAACTTTGAATTAGTTTTAACAGCTTTTTAACCAAAGTGGTTTTTGAAGTCTTAAAACAAAAAGAACATTAAGGAACTAGATTTTTCAAAGTAGATTCACTGCTGAAACAATATGATTGATTCACACTTTGCAAAACTGGAATAAGAAACATACATATTCCCCCCATGTAACATGAAATCCTAAGAACACTTAGAATTCAATTTTGATTCCACATATGAATTTCATATAGATGTCAGAAGAATAAACTTACATGCCAGCAGTTTTGAGACATAACAAGTAGGGTCTTAAATTCCACACTAACCTTTCTCTCACATATTTTATGCACCTTAGTCTTGGATCAGTAGCTTTCATACAGTAATGGGAAGAGCACATGAAAATTATATAATAAGTTTGTGTAAAGACCAAACCTCTGAGAATATTCTATGATTTAAGCACCTAACTTTTCAATGCAGGAATATTAACCCTTTTGGAATATATTAAAAGCCTTTATTTATGAAAGCATTTTAAAACATGTAATTAAAGCTTTCACCGTCAGCATTTTTTTTTTCATCAGCAGCATTTAAACAAATATGTTTAGCAATTCCCTGAAGCAAAGGAGTTCTCCAGTTGACATCTGGACTGCATTTTGGAAATTATATCACAGCAATCTCTCTTTGTTGAACATCTGGCATGAAATAATAATTTTGTTATCAAGATTTTCATCAGGCTCACCATTAACAGTAATTCTCCTTAAACTAATTTGATAATAATGTCTTTTTAGTGAGGACAACAGATAGTTGCCATGTGAAAGTTGTCCAGGGACACAAAAAGCCAAAATAATGACATAAAGAAAACGTTTAAAGTAAAGGTAATTTTGAACACAATAAATAGTGGCTTTGTCAATGGTTACCAATGAGAAACTTAGGTTTTACTACTTACAGAGTCTAAGTACAGGTTGAGTTTCCCGTGGTCGTGTTCTACTTTCTTCACGGTCTCACTCAGGGAAATGGCATCTGAGGACACGGTAAAACCACTGAGGAGGTTAATTTCCATAAGGGCCATGCCGCTTCTACCTGGGCCCAGAAACCTAGACCAAAGAGGAGAGGAGAGAAGAGAACCCTTTAGGAAAAAGCTAAAGCTGTTGGCAAACTATCTTCATATAAATATTAAAACTGCCAAGTGTCATTCCAAATATTTACCGTTTCATTGAAATAAAAAATTACTACAGAAAACTGTAAAAAGGTAATCCTTTCCTTACAGGTCTGAAATTCTTATAACTTTCAACCACATGAGGACTAGAACAACGGGTCCATTTGTCAGTCGCCATGAAATGCCCGCAATGCAGCAGACTTGGGCCCTTGGGTTTAAGAAAGGCAAACTTTGCCCCTTCGGTGGGCAAATCTGTTTTCTAGTGGGTGATACCAAATGACATTGCATTTTTCATTTTCCCAAAAGCTGATGGTACTAAGCTCTCCAACTCAAAGCTAGGAACCAAAAAAAGAGGCATCACTTGACCACTTAGCAGGAGACAGCGGCCAAGTCATCAACAACCTTTTCTTCATCTGATTTTTAGAAAAAAGAAGACCGGTAGGCAAGGTCCTTCCCTTTCTTCTCCCACATACTTGGAGCACATTTTGTGTTTTCTTTAGCCACCTCGGGAGAATGACAAGCCTCGGAAAGCTTTATTACACCGCTCGTTCTTTAACCCTGTTGTACACGTCGTGAATATCAGAGCATCTTGGCACCAACAACATTTTGTCTCCTTTAAAATAATTGTTTTTCTAAAATCAATAGACGGCAAGAGCTTTTTGTTTGGATCTGAAACAGCCCAATGTCATTATGGAAATGAGTTTGTCTCCGACATCAAAGTCTCTTAGCATTGTTCAGTTAGTTTCTGTTGTCCTTTAAATGGCAAAAGCAAGATGGGCGCGTAGAAAATCTTGCTTTTTAAAGCAGCAAACTGATGCCTGCCAAACGTGATTGAAAAGCCACACAGTACAAGTGCTGACTGCAGTGGGCTCGGTGATCCCAGGCAGCTGAAACCATCTGCTGGTGAGGCACTCAGCCAGAAGAGATGCTACTGAAAACCAATACGGGCGTTAAACCTAGAGGTGTTTGAGAGATGAGAAAAACAGCCAACCTGCTTAGATATGATGACTTTAGTGCATCATCAGAAGTGCTTTGGTTGACCTGGTCTTTCCACCAGCCAGGGGCAGAATTTGTTAAATTACTATGCCACAGAGAAACCTTTTCTGAGGTGAGTAAGGGCTTGGACCCTACTGATGAGAATAAAGTGCCTGAAACACCAGCTATTCTTTTTATAAAGTGCCACTGAAAGAATTCATTTTAAATGTATTTTGTATTTCATAGCAGATTTTTCTCAGAAAACTAGTAGCAACATCTAAATCCTTTTTATAAAGCCCCCAACCCTGACATTAAAACACTTCCCTTCTCCAGGTCCTCCAAAAAAAGAAAGAAGAAGATATAGATGCCCTCTACCTAGCAAAGTCTATTGGCTGTCTGATTTCCTGATGCTGGATTAAGATTTGGAATCCAGCATCTTTACATGAGCCCCTATAAATAGTGAAACCCCATTATGGTCTGAATCTCAGTTTCACCTCATTTTCCTCCTCTGTGTCTTTACCTGACCTCCCTAAGTGGTAAAATCCTTCTCATTGCTCCATAAGGCTATTCTTCTTTGTCCTTTTCAAAAGTAGAATTTTAGACTTGCTATAAGCAGCTCTTTGCAGGAAACCACCCTCATGAGGAAACCCCTCTTCCTGTCACATTAGCAAAGCTATATTGTAACTAACCTTAAACCAGGTGCCCCCGTGCTCTACTCATCTCCAGCCCAAGCACACTTTTCAAATCTTTTGATCACACAATACCTTGCCTAACCTGTTGGTTCTTTCTGTAGATCAAAGAAGTAGAAATGAAGAATAAGTAATTAGCAGATGACCAGATCTCTTCCCCAGCTTTCCCTTTAGTAATCTTATGAACAAACTGTGTGAACAAGATAACATCTAAAGAAAGATCACAGGAAGTCCACAAGCCTGCAAACGGGGGCGGGGGGGGGGGGGCGGGGGGGAGGCCCAGGGAACTTGGCTTTGCTCCCAAGGGGTCAGGATCCCACTTCCGGGCCTTGGCCACTCTTTGCCTCCTCCCCCCGCCCCTCCCAGGGACCCTCCCGCCGAGTTTCCTCGTCTGTAAGCTGCAGCTCTAGGCCAGGGGTCAGCAAACGACTTCCCTTTCGTGGGCCAAGTCAAGCCAGGCCCCTGCTTTT